GTAAGGTTCAGACAGGACGCCAGGTTGTTTTCTTGGGTTGGCGGAGACATCGGTTCCGGCAGCTGTGGAGGATGTTTTGAGTTTCTCTGTGAGATTCTCTTTCAACTCCTGAAGGATCCCGTCAGACTCGGGATGGGGCGGCTGGCGGGTCCGGCTCTGGGAAAGTAGGGGGGCAGTTTGCTTTGGAATTTTGCTCCAAGAATCATCAGCCAAGGGGTGGTTTGATGCTTCTCCCTCCCCGCAGTATTTTCCTTGGGCCAAATGCTATTTTTATTATTTCCAACAGAAAAACACATCACACAGAAGTGACGTCAACAGCGTCTCCAGGAAGGCTGCAGTGACACTTCTCCAGCTGATGAAACAGGGGGTTGTCCCCACCGTGTGCCTGTTGCAGTGGGTCTCCAAACCAGACCCACTCTGTGGGCAACCAGTGAGCAGCCCCAGGTGTGGTGACCAGGTGGATGAAGAAGGGGAGGGCTGAGGCCTCTGGCCAGGGAGGTGTGTGCTGCTGAGTCCTATTCTGAGCCTGGGCATGTGTGCCATACATTTGGGGTCAGATACCCCACAAACCCTCAGGATTGTAAGGAGCGAATCCCACTGGTACCTTGTAAATGGAGTGAGCAAATTCTAAGGTGGAATCCAGACATTTGGCTGCAGTTTTGCTAAAGACTTTCGGGAGGCGGTTTGTCCGGGAATCCAGACTGGAGCTGAGCCACCAGGCAGATCTTGAGCTGCAGGGGTGACCCTGTGGGATTCTGGGGCATGGGGACAGGCGGGTTTCAATACCCCTGCTCTCCGCAGGGGCAGTGCCCACTGTTCCGACACTGCCCTCCCTGCTTCCTTTGATCACGCTGCCTTTCCCGAAGTGTGGGTGTGGTGCACACGTCCGTCCTTCCTAGAGTGCACAGGAAGGCAATTGCAATTCAGTCTCGAGGCAGCCGGAAAGACCTGGATAAAGAGATTCCAAAATCCATGTGGAAGTGTGACGGACAAGAATCACCAGCATGACTTGGGAAAAGCCACAGCAAGGGGGCCGTTCTCACCAGGCAGTCACGTAAAGCCAGTATCCATAAGCTGTCACGAAAATCACAACGGTCTCTCACTCTGGTGACACGAGGTACACCCTTAAGACTTTGAGATCGGAATAAGGATCAGTGGGAATGCCCAGAAGTAGATTCTATTTGTGGATAGACAGGAGAGAAGATGCTGACCTGCAATGGTGCCTGGCCTGGTCAGAGTCTCTTGAGAGCTGACAGCAGGGTGAATTCCATGAGATAAACACGGGCAAAATTTCAGTAAGTAAAAAAGAATAAATATCAGTGAACTTTCTGAGTTAAGTGCCTATTTCTGAGCAGTAGAGGCAACATTTGAGCACATACAGTTAGAAACTATAGTCAGACAGCACCATTAACTATATGAAAACCATCCCTTCAAGAGGCTAAAGCAGGAGGGTCAAAAGTTAGAGGAGAGTTTAGGCAACTTAGCAAGTCCTGTCTCAAAAAAATAAAGGGGGGCCGGGGATGTAGCTCAGCGGTAGAGCACTTGCCTAGCCCTTGTGGGGACCTGGGTTCCATCTCCAGAACCACACATGCACGCGTGAGCGCGCGCACACACACACACACACACACACACGTGCACCAAAAAAAAAAAAGTCACTCCAGGCTGGGAAAGTGTTTGAAATGATCTTGTGTCCCATGAACTGTCACTTTATTGTGAAGAAGAGCCAAGTCTTGAGACTGTTTTCTGCGTTTTGTTTAGTTTGGTTGCTATGAACTTTATTGTGAGTTAAATCTGTTTAAGAGGGTCTCATAGCCAGGTATGGTTGGGCATACCTGTAATCTCAGCAGCTCGGGAGGCTGAGACAGGAGAATCAGCAACTCACCGAGGCCCTTAGCAACTTACCAAGACCCTATCTCAAAAAATGAAAAGGGCTGGGATGTGGCTCAGTGGTTGAGAGCCCCTGGGTTCCAACCCCGGTACCAAAATATAAATAAATAATAAAAAATAAGTGTCTTAGACACCTGTGTGCAGTCTGACTTTTAAGATATGAACTCCAGGTACCTTCGTTAGTCTGTTGTCATGTCAGTCATGTGAGGGAAGACGCACCTGAGAATTTTGGCTGCTGGATGTTTGATGGTTGCCTATGCCCTCTGTGCCAGGCTGGGCAGAGGAGCCAGGATCTGGGTAAAGGGCATGAGATTTAGGGAAAGAACAGCACTGGGCCTTCCTTCTGCACCAGTCTTGTTTGGAGAAGTGAGCTCTAGGCTGGGGGTTCACCAGTCCACCTCTGTGCCTGAGGAGGGCTCCGCCTGGGGACAGTGGGCAGACCCCAGCCACGGGTGCCTTGGGAGCAGGTGACAGCAGGTGTCCTGAACCAGGGACTCCCAGTAGGAAGCACCTGTCCTTTCTTTCCTGATGCCTGCTGGGGACTGTCCACCTGACAGCTGATGAGAGTGGACAGAGGCAGAATCACAGTGAGGTCAAGAAAGCTTCGCTGCAGTAGCTCTGTCACTCTGGGAGGGGAGGGCTAGGAATTCATGCAGGGGGTGGTTGTGGCTTTGTAAAATTGACAAAATAACTTCCTTTTATGACTCTGCTTCAAGAGAGTCTCTGAATTTTATGTTGTAAGCCCCATAAAACCTGGATCCTGCCCTGCCCAGAGATCTCCTTCTAACCCAGAATCTGTCCACATTCTTTCCTTCTTCCTCCGATAAGCTGGAGACACGTCTGAGGTGGTGAGTCATCTCTGCCCTGGGGGCAGGGTGCAATTCAGAGAGCATCCCTGAACTTTTCCAAGGTGCTAATCTGTCCACTCACACACCCTTACTGGCCATCCCTTTGTGCCAAGCCAGCTCCAGAGAGAGGATGAGATGCAAAGTTGGGAAAAATAGCTGGGTGTGGTGGCACACGTCTGTAATCTCAGTGACTCTGGAGGCTGAGGCAAGAGAGTCCTAAGTTTGAGGCCAGCCTTGGCCATTTAGCAAGACCCTTTCTTACAATGAAAAGGCCTGGGGATGCAGCTCAGTTGAAGAGTGGCCCTGGGTTCAATCCCTAGTACCCCTCCCCTCAAACAAGGTGGAAAAAAAATGGATGGTCCTATTGCACTGTTCCAAAGTTAGAGAGACACTCAACTAACTTGTGTCTATACCCACAGGATGGGGCGGGGTGCTGAGGTGGGCACTGGGGAGGTTTTCCTGAAGGCAGACCCTGGTCTATGTGAGGGTAGATCAGGAGGAAACGGTTCTTGAGCTGGGGCATGGGCCAACCAGGCTTGGGACAGCTGCTACTACGGAGATCCCAGGGAGGGGTGGGAGGAGGGGTGAGATGGAGGGCAGGATGGGGCAGAATGGGTCCTGTTTGGAGGATCAGCAAGCAGAGCTGCCAACCCGTATTTGAGATCCAGAGTCCAGTGAACTGCCTGCCATCTATTCTGTGCCTTCAGTATTTTTTTCTGACTTTCAGGCAGCAGAGCGTGGGGCTGGCAAATGTCCTGGGAGCCAGACCCCCATGATCCCAGTGTTCAGTTCCCAGACCGGCAGCCAGAAGCCAGGGGCAGGGCTGCCTCCTCCTTTCCTTTGACCTGAGGTTCCTCAAGTGTAGAGCAGGAGTTACTGCTGGGCTGACCTGACAGATGTGCCCCTCCAGGTGGTGGGAAGGGCTCAGATTCTGTGTGTGTGTGTGTGTGTGTGTGTATGCACGCGTGCCTGTGTCTCCATTGCTTCTGGACAGCTGTGATTCTCCATCTCCCAAGCCCCTCCAGGGGCTCTCTTCAGAGCTGACTGTTAGGGGAGGGGGATTCTGGAGCCTTCAGGGTTCCTCTTACTCAGACCACCGGGGGTGTGGGAGGAGGAAGGTCTCAGATGCACATCTCCAGCTGGGACTGGCACATTGGCCCTCACACACCTGGGTGTGACACTCACTCTCGGCTCCACCAGATCCTGTCCAGACTGGACCTCCCCAGGCTATTCAAAACCCGCTGGGAGAGGCTGGCCCTCACTAACCCCAGGACCTCCGAGTTCAACCCTTGGGACAGCTGGTCCTTGCACTGGAGTCGGTCACTTCCAAACCAAAACCGGGGGTAAAAGAAGAAAAGCAGATCAGGAAGGGCTCTGTCCTCGGCGGTGCCTCTGGGCCCTCGGCCGCCACCTCCAAGAGCACTCTGCACAGAAACACGAATGAAGATGCGTGGAAGTGGTTGACCAACAATGTAGGAGGTACCCGCGGGGCTGCAGAGGCTGCCCACCCAATCCCCAAGTTCTTCCCCAAGCAGGACCAGCATGGATGAGATGCCAGGGCTGGATGGAGGGTCCACGAGGAAGACAAACTGAGGCTGCTTTCCCTGGGAATCTTGAGAAGGAAGGGGAGGCTGAGGGCTGTCCCCGGAGTCCGGGGTCTGGGGCCAGGGGTCCGTAGAGACCTGTCTCTGCAGGGTGTGCGAGGCGTGCCTCTCTTGTTCTCCGCGGGGCGCGGGGGTTGGCTCTAGGTGGGACCAGGCCTGGGACTTTCAGCCTGAGATAAGCAGGAAGCGCGAAGGGGCTCTGCTTGCGGGGTGGGAGTCTGGGGGACGCGGGGAAGGGCGGTCTGCCGGCGGGCCAGGGGTAGGGGAGCCGCTGGAAGAGGAGCCCTGGGCGGGGCCGAGGGAGTGTGGGGCGGGGCCTAGGTCGGGGGCGCGTCCTGGGCGGGTGGGGGCAGGGCTGTGGGCGGGGCCGGGGCTGGGGTCGGCCGGGCCCGGGGCGTGTCGCGGGCGGGGCGGGCCTCTCCCGCGCCCGGCTGGGCGCAGTCTGCCCACCGCTCACAGGGAGCGTGTGGCCGGCTGGACCTGGGTGAACTGGTCTCCGCACGGCCCTTCGGGCGCGGGCGGGAAGCCGGCTCCTGGGCACCTGTGCTGCGCCCCGCGCACTCTCCCCGGCATGGCGCACGCGGAGACGGCGGCTCCGGGCCGCAGGGCCGGTCTGTGAGCCTCGGACCCGAGAGGCACCGGGGGCTTGGCCGCGCGCACGATGCCTTTGCCAGCGGAGGCGAGGGCGACCCCGAGGGCGACGGGGCGCGCGGTGGCTCCGGCGCTGCTGCTGCTGCTGCTCTCCGCGGTGCGTGCGACTGCCCCGCCGCGACCCCTGCTCCCGCTGCAGCCCAGCATGTGAGTCGCGGGAGCAGGAGAGGCTCCTCCGGGCGTCGGAAACCGGGACCGAGCTCCTGGGCTTTGTCCGGGGGCCCCAGAACAATGGGCTCTTTGCCTTAGCTGGGGAGAGGGTTCCCGGTGGGGTCTGGGGAGCCCCTGTGGCAGGCCTGTGCCTCCTCCCTCACGGCCTCTGTGATGTGGGTCCTGCCTGCTCAGGCAGATGCTGAGCTGGGGAGGGAGGTGAGGAATCCGGGCCCCCTGCCCGGCAGGGTCTAGCCTGGGAGCCGGCTTGGACGGCAGAGGAAGCGGCCTGCTCCCACTTCCTCCAAAGCCTGTCTCCTGGGGTCTGGGGGCCTTCGCAGGGGCGGGGTGTACCCAGACAGGGCTGCAGAGCTGGTTTGTGTGTTAAACACGTGTGCTTTGGAGCTGCAGGGAGAAGGAATTCAGTACCAGAATGGGCAGGAAGAGACGGTCAGGGAGCCAGCCGAGATGAATTTAATTTTGAAAGATGATTCCCCAACGGGCCGTTTAGCGGTCTCTCTTAAACAGCAAAGCAATCCCTGTGTTGGCCTCAAAGGAAAGTGGAGGAGGAGGAGGTGGGGAGAGCCTGTTGGCTGCCCCCCACTCCAGCACTCCCTGCAGGGTGCCTGGGCTTGGGGCCGGCCAACCTGGCAAGGCCTTTGCCAGCTGCAGAGGGGCTGGCCACGGCCCTGGGCTCAGCTCACGTTGGGGCCTCCCAGCCGCAACCCTGAAGCCCCCTTCAGGGGCCACAGAGGGGCTTCTCAGGCTCCTCCTATCCAGCATTCTGGAAGAGGGCCTGGCGCTGGGCCACTCTATGTACCTGGCTGTGGAGGAGAGAGAGGCGGCCCCCTGGGGATGGAGTGGACAGGGTTCCACACTGGGGGGAGGCAGGCAGATTCTTTCCCCCAGGGCCTCTACTCTGGGTCTTGCTTTGCTTCAAGAAGGAAGATTTCCTGTGGTCTCTTCAACAGAGGACCTCCTCTGTGTTGGGGACCTTTCATCCAGAAACTGAAAGGCCTGCACCTCGACTCCAGGGGACTTCTGCTGGACACTTCTGCTTCCTGTGGTCCCCGTGCCTTTGTCCAAGGGGAGCTGCAGCCCCACAAGGGGTTAGCACACAGGCTTTGGGCCACTTGACTGCCTGCTTCTCATACGGCTGCCAGAAGACTTGGGGCTCTGATCCTGGGGGGCAGCAGCTCAATGGTGACTGGTGGACGTTTCTGCTCTTGAGAGAGGCTTCTTCCCCTGCTGCACTCACGAAAACTGCTGGCTGCCTGCCTTTCTGGGTCCCCATCCAACTTGCCCAAACTTGCTGTTCTCTCCAGGCGTGGAGCAGGGGTCTTTCCTGTGTCCTACTCGCTCACCTGGCCTCTGGGAAGCCTGGAGCCAGGCTGGGAAGAGCTGTGGCTCCTTCCAGATCCTCCCCTCCCATTGCTTCTCCCTGCTCTTAAATCCTGTGGCTGCTACCCTGGGGGCCTTTGTCCACTGTTTCCTGGCCCTGTCTCCATAAGGCCTTTGTTCGCAAACTGCCCCTTGCAGGTGGATCTGAGTTCCAGGTTGGCTGAGGTGGCTGTGTGTCTGCCACAGGCCTTCTGTCACCTCGCCACCTGCATGTGCCTGGATGCACAGTAGGGCTGCAGTGGGCCCTGGCTGGCTGGGGGAGCTCCGATTAGAACAGAGGAGGTTTCTCTCTTGGCTGGGAGAGGGCCGGAGAGCAGAGCTGTGGCCTGGGGTGGGGAGGCATCCCCTGGCGGCGGCCTGCCTAGGCTGCCCTGCCCAGGGGAGGGACAGCACCCCAGCCACCTTCTGCTGGTCCTGTAAGCAGCCAAACCCACCACCAGCCAGAGGGCCGTGTGTTCATGTGGGGGGTGTTCAGTTTGTGAGGTCGCCTCCTGGGGCACAGAGTGAAGGGGGAAGAGGGTGGTCCTGGTAGGCCGTGAGGTCCTCTGGCATTGGTGGGATCAGGCATGAGACTGGGGGGACTCAGGGCACTGTGTCCAGGACGCAGCCCAAGGAAGGCTGATGAGCCCTTCCCTAACGAGGGGACCCCCGTTCCTGACTCATTGCCCTGCCTGGCCCTCTCCCCATAAACTCAGGCTGGGATCCTTGGCCTGCCACAGCCCCTGGGAAGCTGGGGCCCGCGTCCTGTGCAGTCATCTGAGAGGCATGGAACCCCAGAGCAGGCCTGGCTCCACATCTTATTAGTGACCTGGAGCAGGTAATGCAGGGAGCCACCGTTACCTCCTTCCAGGAGTGTTGGGGACATCCGTCCCACCTGGCCCATTACTCCAGGCTGGAGGAGCCGGGGGGTGTGGAAGCTGTGAGGCCGGAGCAGCAGGTACCACTGGGAGCTCACAGGAGAGCCTGGATCCTGATCCTGGGCTGCCCTGTCCTGCACTTTGAGGATCCTCACCCTGCAGTCCCCCCAGACGTGGGCTGGCTGGCCTCTGCCACGGAAGACTGCAGGAGGGGTGTGAATGGGACGTCTCGGGCAGCCTGGTCCTGCGGACTTGACTGGGGATTTGGGTTTGGCTCTGCCCTGGCCACCAGTCTTTGATGGTCAGCTGGGGGCGGAGGACCTCGGCCTTGGTGCTGTGGCCAGGCCAGGCTGGGGACCCAGCTTCGTTGGTGCTTTCATCTTGGCTGCAAAGCAGAGCCGCTGTGTGACTCCCTGAGGGGCGGGCTTCCCACCCAGCGAGAGCAACAGGAGGAGGAAAAATAAAGTCCTCGGTTGCAAGAGCATCCGTCTGGGGGTGGCTGGCCTAGGGCCAGGTCCTGGGACAGGGCAGCCAGGGTCTTCCAGGGCTGAGCCTGGGGACCCCCAGCAGACCAGACAAACGTCGGGGCTGTATGGGAAGCAGGAACTTCTGCCCAGGTGGACGGTTTGAAAACAGAGGCCAGGGATGTGCTGTGTCCCCTGAGCAGGGAGCTCAGCCAGGAGGTTGGGAGAGAAGTGGCTTCCTGGCTGCTCTGATACCCCAAAATGGTGATGGGGGCCCAGGTGCTGGATTTGCCAGACTCACTGCAGTGTACCCCCAGGTAGCATGCAGTGTGGTCCACTCAGAGCACAGGCCCTGCCCCTCGTGTTGGGGATCAAGCCCAGAACCTGGCCCTGCTGGGCGAGCCTGGTCTCCTCTTCCTTAAGGTCCCACAGAATCCTGCTGGCTTCTGACTTGATCCGACTTAATTGTTAGCACTTCAGTCGTGTCCTCTTTTACTGAGACTTGTCTTTGGAGGCCACCTGACCTGGGTGAGCCCAAGCTCTGGGCATCCACCACCTCCTGAGGGCATGGATTATGGGCAGGAGGGGCTGGGTTTGAACCCGGGGCCTCACATGTGCAAGCAAATGCTCTACCACTGAGCCACCTCCTCAGCCCTTTTTATTTTTTATCTTGAGACAGGGCCTTGCTAATTTGCTTGGGGTCGTCCCTCCACTGACCTTTCCCCACCTCACAGCCTGATGGGCATGGGGGTCTGTCTTACGCTGACCGCCCCCAGCACTGGCTTTTCCCTGGCCTGGTTTATGCAGTCCCTGGGGTGGGGACCTGCAGAAAGGGGAGTCCTATGAGTCTTGGCAGGGGTGGGGACCATGGCGCTACTTTTCCATTTCCTGCTCCTCGGAGGGGAGGCCCTTCTCACTGTGCCAACAGCCCGCATGGCTCAGAGGGTGCTGGGAGTCACTGAGGTCACAGGGATGGGGCAGGGAGGGCCGGGTGGAGAGAACAGAAGGACTGAGCCATCTGGAAGGCGGTGTGGGGTCTTCCTGGCCTGGCTCCTGGGGGATCAGGCAGCACCTTGGGCAGTGTGTGGTCCTGTGTGGGGGTGCTGTGGTCCTGGTTCCTCTTCGAACCCCCCTCACCCTCGAGCCTGGGTGGGCACTGGGAGGGCTGTGCTCTGGAGGCCTGGCCTCCCAGGGCCATGTGCCGGAGGGGCCTGTGCCAACCAGAGGTGGGTGGTGAGATGCTGACTGTCCCTGTTCTCTGTCCCAGGCCCCATGTGTGTGCCCAGCAGCAGCTGACCCTGGTGGGCCATCGTCGGCCCTGTGTGAAGGCCCTCAGTCGCATGGTGTCCGTGTGGAAGCCGGGCTGTGGGCGCCAGGCATGGTGCATTGGCCACGAGCGCAGGTAGGTGCTGGGCACCTGGGGCTGTGGGCAGGAGCTGGGCAGTGGGGGCTGGGGCTGCACCCGTCCTGGCCTCAGGGCCACCGGATGCCCCCTCTGAGGACAGAGTGCCAGGGAGGCTCCAAGTCACAGCTCTGTGGAGAGGTGTGGGGCCCCACCAGGGGGGGGTGCTGGGCACAGCCGGCAGAGAGCCCGAGCTCACCTGCTGAGTTCCGGTTGGAGGCCATTGCTGCCTGACCCTTGGGCCTCTTCCCAAGCCCACGTGAAACCTTTCATTGCTCAATATTTTATTTCAAAATCAAGCTCAAGGAGTTCTTTTTATGCCTCTCCTGTTTGTAGACTCAGCACCGTGGAACCTGCCTGGGTGCAGACTGTGGGGGGGGCATGGCTGCGGCCCCCAGTGGGTGGAGGAAGGAGGGGTCCTGGGAGGAGGGGTGCTCAGCCAGGGCTCCGGGGGTCCTGGTCCTGCCCTGGGCTGCCCTCCTGGGGGCTCCATGTCTGCTTGGCCTGCTCAGGGGCTTGGGGACGGCGGGTGAATGTCTGTTGGCTGGACAGTTACTTCATCATATGCCGAGTGAAGGAGGAGGAGTGTGGTTGAGTGTGGCCGCTTCTCACCCGGGGCCATTTTGTCGTCCCCCACCCTGCAGTGCCTGGAGACAGGTTTGGTGCTGGGAGGTGGGCTGGGGGACAGGAGCTGTGCATCCAGCAGGAATGGCCTGGGCAGGAAGGACACATTCCTCATTGCTCTCCAGGGGCTGCTCCCCGCAGCTTCCAGGGTGTGCAGTAGAAACAGGGATTCGGTGGCCTAGACTCGGGTCCCCGTCCTCACCTTGGAGAGGGTGGTTTCTGTGGTGGGTGGCCAGTTGGAGGAGCCTCCATGACTTCCCTGCTGTGGCCTGTTGTGGCTGGACGCAGGGTGCAGTGTTTCCCAGGTGGCTGGGTGGGCAAGGTGTCCAGGAAGCCCCAGCCTCTGGAGGACCTTACTATCTGGGTCAGTGCTGCCGGGGTTTCCCCAGCGGCTGGGGCCTGTGCAGGTCTGGCTCCAGGACTCCGGCCCTGGCACGGTTCAGCTCAAGGTGTCCGGACTCTTCTCCAACCCTCCCTCCCAGGAATGTGGCAGTTCTGCCATGGGGTTCAGTGGGAGCAGTTTGGGCTCTGGGTCATGGGGGGCAGGGCAGCGGTCCAGTCTGGCTGACTCTGGAATGTGGCTAAGGTCTGCCTTTGCTCCACGCCCACTCCGGGTAGCCTGAGTGCTCTCAGGGCCTCGGTGCCAAGGGGACAGTGTTCTGCCTGGCCTCCAGGCACTGTCACCCCGTGGCTGTGGTGGCCAGGCTTGCCCCAGTTCAGTGTGCGTGGAATGCGCAGTCTCTCTTCTTCTCTGGTGTCCCTTCCCAACCTCTGGGAACTGGGCACAGCTGGGCCGAGTTGCAGGCCATGTCTCCACATGCCTGTCCACGCCTGTCCGTGCCTGTCCAGCCCAGGTGGTGGAGCTGAGAGGTCTGTCTGCTGCACCTTCCTGCTTACCCTTCCCCAGGAGCTGGCCTGACCCCATCCTCTTCTCCCCATCTGCCCAGTCCAGTCCAGTGAGTCGCCTCCGTGGACGCCACTCCTCCTTGCAATGGTACCGGAGTTCCCGTCCCTGACTGGAGCCCTCAGGCCTTGTCTGGTGCCCCTGAGTCCTGGGCCTAAGGACAGTCACGTGACAAGGAGCTGGTCATGGCTGCAGTGTCCCCGGTGGCAGTAGGCCATCCCTCCTGCTTCTGTGGGGACAGCACATGCTGCATGTGGAGAGCCACAGCTGGTCCTGGGGAGGGCAGGAAGGAGGTCCCCGGCCTGGAGGAGGGCTCGGAGGCAGGGCGGGCCTCTGGCCCCGCAGCCCGGGCTGGGGGGGCCCTGGGTGGGGCCCTGGGTGGGTCCCTGAGCAGCGTGGGCGCTGAGTGGGCTGACAGGAGCCAGTGCCGGGCCGTGGGCTTCGTCACCCTCCCCACCCTACTTGCTGTTTCAGCTCTTGAGCTGACCCACACGTGGGGGGACAGCACCTCATGCCACAGGCGTGTATCGGAGGTGCCCTGGAGTGGCCTTCCCAGCTGCTGGGCACAGAGCAGGGCAGGGAAGCCGAGTGTCTGCGGCAGGGAGAGGGCAGGGGACCCACTGTGTCATCTGCTCCCTGGACAGCTGTGTGGGCATCCAGGACAGCCAGGCTGCATTTCTTCAGTCCCTAAAAGGCAGGCAGCGAGCGCTTTGACCTGAGGAAACCGGTGCCCAGGGGTTTGGGCGCTGGGCCGTGGCTTCACGGGAGTGAGTGGCAGGGCTGAAGCTTTAGCCTTGGGCCCTGGCTCCGCGCCCGAGCACTGGCAGCGAGGCCTACAGTCTGCCCACTCAGAGGTGCCCTCTGTGAGCCCTCCTCCACCTCTGGGAGACCAGCGGACGTCTTCATGTCCCCGCATCTCTCTTGGGGGTCACTAAGGCTTGAAGGCTGCCGGGGGCCCGGAGCAGCAGGGTGGGGAGTATGATGAAAGCCCAGCAGGGAGGCCTGGCCATGGTGGGCAGCGGAGCTGGCCTCAGTCCGGCCCCAGCTCTAGGAGCGCCTCTGGGCCTGGGTTTGGCCTGGCCTGGCAGGCGCTTCCCTCAGCCAGGACCAGGTGATGGGGACCTTGCCTGGCCTTGGTGTTGGCAGGCCAAGCGCCACGCACGTCCCTCAGCCTGGGGACCTGGCTCTGCTGCCCCATGGCCTCATGCCTGGGCCAGGGATGATTGTCAGGCTGCTCCCGTTGGCCACTGGGCGAGCCAGTGACAGGTGACAGTGCTACACACACTGTGAGGCCAACGGGCCCCAGGTGTGGGCTCTGCCTGCGGGCGACGGCCACCACCTGTTGGGCCCCAGGGCCCTGCCCCTGCAGCCTGGCCTCTAGCCCTTGTCGCCCTGACAGTTCTGTGCAGAGAATTCCCTGGTTTGTTGAGCAGGTTGCAAAGGGGCTGGGCAGATGTGAGGGCCAGCAGTGTCCCCCCCCGACACCAGCTGCACCCCAGCTTCCCTGGACAGACAAGGGCACCTCCTCTCCAGCTCTTTGGGGGTGGCCACCAGGGCCAGGGGTCACAGGACAGACTCTGTGTCCACGTGCTTAGGCCAGGTTCAGGGCCATGGGGGCCTCAGTTTCCCCGTCTGGTTGAGCTGGGGTAAGGATCATCGGCCACACACAGGCTCCCTGGTGGCTCCTGCACCCTCTGGGCAGGAGTTGGCTTTGTGTCTGGGTCTGGGCTGTCGAGTCTGTGCCTGGCCACAGGCAGGGCCGTGTGGGTGACAGGGCGCCTGGCCTGGCCCAGAACAGATAAGACTGCGCTGGCACCTGGCATCCCGCCAGCGTAAAGGGCCTTCCCCAGCAAACCCGAGAGCCAGCACCAGCCGCTCAGGCTGCATGAAGCCGCGAGAGAGGAGCGAGGTCCTCCAGAGGAAGGAGGGCGCCCCGTGGCCCTCAGCACGGAGCTGGCCATGCTCCTGCCAGGCCCAGACCCTGCCGCTGTGGCTCCACTGGGCCTCCCTCCCAGCAGCCTCGTCCCCTGACCCCAGCCTTGTGGGAATCAGCTCCCGGTGGCACTGGCTGCAGGGGAACGGGGATCAGTCCTCAGGGGCTGACTGTTCCTCTCCCAGGGTCCTTCCTTTAGGGGCCGTGGGATGGGATGACCCGTGGCCGGGAAGAGCAGCTCGTACCCTGGCCCTGCGGCAGCCATGCTGTTTACACTGCAAGGCGTGCGCTCGGGCTCTGCTCCATGTCGTCTGCCGCGGGTGGGTTTGCGCAGGCGAGTGGTTTCATGTCGGGCCAAGGTGTCGTGCAAGGCGCTCCCAGCACCTCCGAGTGCAGTGCCTGGCGTGGACGTGTGCGTCCAGGAAGTGGCCCCGCCCTGTTTGTTTGTTGGGCCTGGGGCCTGGGCCAACTCTGCTTCCCATGCGCCAGCCCCAGCAAGGAGGTGGTCTGTCACTTGGAGGCGACAACTCAGGCTGCCTGGCCGCTCCCAGAGGCTCGAGGGCCCCAACACAGTGGCTGTTTGCTGGCCCCTGGATTCCATCCCTGTGGACCGTGGGGGACTGGAGGGGGTGCTGGGGCTGGGCCTCCCATCGTCCCTCCTTGGCTACTCTTTCCTGTCTCTCAGTCTCTCTGTCTGTCTCTCCGGCCCGGTTCCGTCACTGTGAGCACAAAGGCCTCCCAGCCACAGGATCTGGGGTGTGTGCCAGGCTCTGAGCCCCTGTGTTTCCTGGGGCTCCTACAACAAGCCATGACAAACCAGGTGGCTTAAAGCACCAGGAATTTGTCCTCTTGCTGTTCAGGAGGCCTGGAGTGCCCGGCCAGGTGTGGGCAGGGCTGGTTGCCCCTGGAGAGACGGAGGGGTCCCTGCCCTAGCCTCTTGTGGTTCTCAGGCTGCGGCTGCTGGCCCTCTTAGAAGTGTCCCTGGATCACACCCTCTACTTCACACGGCTTCTCCCTGTGTGTTTGTAAGGACACCAGGAGGTTAGGGTCCATTCCAATCTAGTACGGCCTCATCTTAACTAAGGGTTAAGCAAAGACCTTATTTCTGAATCAAGCCCTGTTCCAGGTGGACGTGAGTTTGGGGAACACTGTTCAACCCAGTACAAGCAGCAAGAGGCGGCATTGGAGTGGACGGGGCAGATGGCTGGGAGGGGCCTTGCTGACTGCAGCTAGAGGCTGTCTGGGTGGGGGAGGGCCAAGAGCAGGGTCACCCCTCAGGAAGGACGCCTGGTACCACCTTGGACCAGCCACCCAGCCCTGGGCCCCTCAGGCATGAAGCTTACTCCAAAAGCCATCCCCCCTAGGCTGGGCACATCCACTCTGAATCCCCCAGTCCTCCCAGCCTGGCTGGAGCTGAGACTGGGGCGTGGGCCAGGTGGGAACCTGACCCCAGCTTGGAGCGGGCCCACCGTGGGAATTGGGGGCTGGGCAGAGGGAGTGGGGTAGCATGGACAGGAAGAGTGCAGCCTGAGACTCCTGCACGGCTCCTCCTGCACGCAGCACCCTGACCCGGCCGCAGGGGCACACGGGTGTAGGCAGCAGCCACCCCACCTGGGCCGCGTGGGAGCCAGTCTCCTGGGTGTGGAGGGAGCCACGGTGTGCTGCTCTGCAGTGGCCAATGTGTCCTTCCTTCTTTTCCAGAACCGTCTACTACACAGGCTACAGGCAGGTGTATGCTGCGGAGGCCCGCACCGTGTTCCGGTGCTGCCCGGGATGGAGCCAGCAGCCGGGTCAGGAGGGCTGCCTCTCAGGTGAGTGTGCTTGTCCCTCTGCACCTGCTGCCCAGCAGAGGCCTGTCTGGCGGGTGCCCTCCCGGCTTTGGCCCTGGGGCTGCAGGCGGGGTCTTCTGCACTGGGTACAACTCCCCACAGCAATGCCAGAGCCACCAGGGTCACTGGTCCAGCAGCTCGACTTGCCAGGGGCTGTTAAAGGGAGGTGACAGAGAAAAACGGAGCAGCGACTCTCAGCACTGAAGCTGGCAGGAGCATGGCCAGGGAGGGCTGTGGCTGTGGCACAGGTGTGGGCATCCCCGTGCGTCCAGCGTGGCTCAGGTGCTGGGACATCGGGACGGGTGGCTGGGGCTGAGAGCAGGCTGGGCCCAGGATCGCGTCCTCTGAGACCCGCGGCTCTGAAGCCTGGTTTGTGAAAGGATGCGGCTTGTGGCTGTATGGACTGGCCACAGGGACCATGTGGGAAGGGTTCCTGGCCTGCTGGCATGGGGACAGGGGACAGGCAGGTGGGTGTGGGGCAGGTGCCCTGGCAGGTGAAGGTGACTGGGTGAGGAGTCAGCCACCCTCCTCTGGGAGGTTGTGCGGTGGCTGGGTTCGCGGGCTGTGGCTCCTGGGTTTCTTGAGTCCCCTCCTGGGGACACAGCCACTGGTCCTGAGCCCAGCGCTAGCAGGATAAAGGGAAGGGAAGGGATGGGGGTGTTTTCCAGGAGGGAAGTGAGTCACTGTCCAGGACATGAGCAAAGGAAGGAGGGAGCAGTGGCTGACTCCAGTGGACGGGACAGGGTGGGACACTGGCCAGCTCCCCTGAGCCAGGGGGCGGGGTCCCAGCCTGGGGGACAGTCGAGGGCACTTCTCTCTGGCTCTCTGACCGTCTCTGCCTGGAGGAACACAGGGCTCTGTTTAGAGGGGACAGACATCAAAGCTGAAGGCCCCCGTGCCTGCCAGAGGTGGCACTGATGACGGCCCTGGGGCTGAAGCAGGGGTGGCAGAGGAAGCGGGGTGTGCTGTCCAGGCCCAGCTAGGTGTGCAGGGCAGTGCTAGCCACTGGTGTCCTCTGGGCCCCTGCTGGGTCTGAGGAAGGTTGCTTTTCACCTGTCTGGAGTGACCAACCAAGGTCAGGGGTGGAGGCAGAAGGGGCCAGGGCCAACCCCTACTGCAGGCCGGGCAGGTGCTGGCTTTCTGGGAAAGTGAGGCCACCGTGGGGTTGGTGTGGCAGGTCCTACTGACTGTGTCCCTCTCTCCCGTCCCTTTGTCTGGCATGAGCTCTGGATGTGCCCAAAGGTCCTGTCTGCACCAGCTGCGGAGCTCTCTCCCCGACGTGGGACCCTCAGGCTCCAGTGGGCGAGGTGCTGGCAGTGGCCACTGCCCAGGGACATCACCCAGTGCCCTCAGGGGAGGGGTCTCTGCCAGATCCTCCCAGGCAGCTTGTGGAGGAGCTGGGCTGGGCAGTGGGGCAGCAGGTGGGTCTCTTGTCACGTGGGACGTGACGCAGCAGGGTACCCACCTGGAGCTGGGCTCTCTAGTTGTTTGTTTTGAAGTTCATTTTTAGTGCAGGGTTGGCTGACTTACTGTTTCATTTTGTTTGTTTGAATAATCCCAGTCCAGCCACGTGATCTGGCTTCTCCGGCCTCTCCCCGTTCACCCAGGGGTTGGCCCCCAGAGTGAGAGGCTGGGGAAGGGGAGCAGGAGCGTTCAGACGGCAGGGTGCTCGCTGGGCTTGTCCCGCCCAGAGTTGAGGGGCTCCAGCACGTTCTGTGGTGACCTGTGTCCACTCCTTGTTTGTTCAATCACCTTTTTACACACTCACTCACACTCACCCATTCACCCACTCTCCCATCCACTCACTCACTCTCACTCACCCACTCACTCACCCACTCACTCACCCACTCACTCACTCTCACTCACCCACCCACCCAC